TAAAGTGGCTTCTTTTTTAAACTTTGTAAATACGTAAACGTATACATAACAAATACACATATTAATACCACATAGAGAACTAAATTATTGGTATTTGGTTTTGTGAAACCAAAAAAGAGTATTTTGTACGTTTGTAGTATTTGATTTCTAGTATTAAGTTTATGTTTTCAGTTAAATTCATTTAATCGTAAATACTAATATATTATTATAGCAAATTAGATTATTGACAGGTACTTAGAAAATAGATTTTGTGTTGCCTTAGAACAGTTAGGTTTTTGTATAATTTTTAACCATAAATAGTTGGGTTTAATAAATTAAAGGTTAAACATTATATTGTTAAATTATTATGCCTTAAGAATATCTTTGCTACACAAAGTAGGTACAATAATATATATATATATTTTTTTTAAATTTAAATTTATAAATTATTATTTCAATTACTATTTACTTGTATTATGATTTACTACATTACTGAATTCAAATTATTTTTTGAAATTCCTGATAAGTAAAACTTATAATGATTCTTACATTATTTTTTTTCAGACTTAAGTATGAAAATTAAAAATGTCATCAACTTTTAACCAATTAAATGATTTACATGCAAAGTGATTTTGTTAAATTTTAAACGATTGAAAAAAAATTGTGACTAAATTTTGTATATTTTTTATTTATACTGTGTAAAAATGTATTAAATGTTCATGCTTTTGATTTAAAAACAACTTTACAAATATAATTCGATAAAAAAAAATAAAAATACCTAATAATTCAAATCATGACTATATAACTCAAAAAGTTAAAATATTTAAAAAATTATATCATGTTTAGAAAATGATAATAAAAAATACTGGTTGAAAATTTTAAATATCTACATACTACTATAATTATTATTTATTAATAAATTACACCATATAAATAAAATTTATTTTTTTAAAAAAAATATTGCTTAAATATTTTGTTTTCACGGAATTACAATAAATATTAAATAAAAACAATTTGCTCAAAACTTGTACTAAATTTGTAGATTAAAGCATTTTTATTGCTCAAAAAAAAATAATGATGAACACAACATTTTTTTTATTATAATACCTACTTATCCTACATATTTAATGTGTTACTTCACTCAAAATTCAGAATCCTATTATGATAAATAAATTATAATTATTAAAAAATAATTTATTCAAATTATACATACAGTAGAGTCTCGGTAGTCCGAACCCCCGATAATCTGGTGAACGTGGTACATTGGACGGCATAAGCCGTAGTTTGTAGTTTGTTCAAAATTCTTCAGAAAAAAGTTACTGATTACTATATTTAGATTTTATTATTATAAACATTTTTTTTTTGTAATCCAGTATGTTAAAAATAATTATTATTTTTAATAATATCAATATTAATGATATTCCTTCAGTAGTCCGTACGATGCTTGGTCTGAATTCGTTCAGACTATCGAGGCTCTACTGTACTAAAATATTTTAATGGCGAGTATGAAGTTTCGAAATTCAAAACTTATTCCTTCAATTAGATTTAACATCAAATGTGGTTTTCATAAAAAAAAAAAACGGTTTTTCAAGGCCTTTTGTGGTAAATTTTTTTATAACCAAATAAATAATTACATTAAAAGGTAGAGCAACATTCCGCTAAACATTATAGGTTGTTTTAAACAAATTTACAAACACTTTACACTAGAATCATAAGCATAGGTATGTGGTATAAATGTACATAATTTAAGCATATTAAAGAAGTAACTTGTAAAAAAGGTTGAAAATAATCAATACAAAGGATTCCTAGCAGGTTTTTTTTACAACGGTTATAAAAATACTGAAAGTATGTACTTATCTAAATAACAATGTAATTTCAACATTTTCACAAATACGTGTTGGCTTTATTTAGTATTAATACTTCAAATAAAAACCAATCAAATAACATAAGTAACAAAACATTTATTTGTGTAAATCACTACTATTTTCAAAAACTATCCTAATGTATAAATAGGTATCTACTTTTTATTTTAACTTATACGCCCAATCATAAGTTCGGACATTATAAATTTATAAATCATGTTATATTTTTGCACAGCATGAATCGGACAAATTGTTTTGCTCTTTTGTTTTTTAGTGGTAATTATTAATGGATAATATTATGATAATATTGAAATATTTAGGTAAAAAAATTATGTATATATTTACTTCATTGTTAGGAACAAATCTCTTATAACTATTTGATTGATGGCAGCAATATAGCATACGAATTGCATATAACAAATAATAACATTATACTATTGTAGTATTATTAAATTTATTAGATATCTTCCTGTTTCTCTACATTTTTCGATTAACTGTTGGCAATTTTAAAAATAATTATTGCCATTTGTAATTAGTTATTATTTATTCATTGATTAAGTAATATTATTTTCTTAGCGATATTTTTGTTTTGTTGTAAAATACCTACATAATATATTGTATAGATTCATACAATCACAGAAGTTATAATCATTATTTTTGAGATATTATTATAAAATTTCAACAAAGTATACTTATTATCTTCAAAATATAATATATAATCATTATACAATGTAATATAAATTAAATCTAAAAAATTAATAGGTTTTAAAGTTGTAATCTTACATTTTGTGGCTCACTCGTGTGTTTAATTGTAACCAGCTAACTATCAATATTTATTGACCATGAGATTGCGCTAGCTAACCGGTTTAAAAAGATTGTTGGATTAATAATAAAATAAGCTGTGAGCATAAAAACATAAATAAATTACCTATTATCTGTATTCTATTGAACTTTAGGCACTGGCTAATTCCTTTAATATTATCACACATCGTTTTAAAAATCATTTCAAACAAAAATTGCCTGTAGAAGGATGAAATAACACGTATTTTTAATTTAATTTTATTAAGATCTGTAATAGGATGACATAATATTCCTAAGTACGTCACTGCTAGTAATTTTCTGTGTGAAAATAAACTTGAATAATAATTCACTTCATTTGTGTAAAAACTAAAAAATATCTACCTACCACTTTAATATTGTACGTTGTCTAAAGATAATTAGCCATTTACATATACTTATATTCGGCCAATATTCATATTTTTAGAAATGTATTTCAATATTTCATACATAAAACAAGCAATTTTATTATTGTCTAATAATTCTTGACAGTATCTACCTGAGTATTATTATTATTGCTGAATATTCCGAAAGCCTGCGACATCCTACACGTTTTAAGGGTATCATATACTTTAACTAGATAAAAAAAAAATATATTTATTTTCATTTTTATCTAAATAAATATCAATTCAGCAATTTTTTATCTGTATTTAAATACATTTTAGTCATGTTATATTTATTAGTATTTATCTAGATAAAAAAAAAGTAGATTCCCTATACTGCAGTAGTACAAAACGTCACGTAAGTATAATATATATCCACACAATAAGATACACAAATATAGGTGGTAATTATTAATTATTATATAAAATAAAATCATCAGGAAGTTTAAATCATGTCTTTTATTTAAAATAAATTATATACAATTATGTAATGTTCATTGGCCTTCATAACTCAATAATATTAATAGATTTTGATTTTAAATATAGGAATTCATTATGTAATCAGTCAAGAATTGGTATAATGTATAAAAACACATACAAACACATATACAAATATAAATACAAATTAATTTGTAAAATATAAGTGTTAATTAACTAATACCTATGAGGAAAATGATGACATTTTTCATGGGTCATAATATTTTTTTACTCTGCATTCAGTATTGATTGCATACCATAATATATTTTTAATAGTTTGAATCATATTGAACTATTTTAAAAATAACACAAAACTTTTAACAATGCTTAAAATATCATAAACAATAATTGTGTACTTTAAAACATCAATAAATTTTCTTATAGTTAAAATTGTTTTTATTATGTTAAGGTTTTGGGGACATATTTGAGGTATAGTGGTTTAAATATCCTATTCTATGAAGTATAAAGTATATTTTAATAAGAAGTCGAAAACAATTTAGTCGATGTTAAATTAAAAAGCTTCAGTGTTATGTACAAAAGTATGAAACTCTAAAAACCAGAATATCAAAGTAATGTTTTTGATTTTTATTTAGTGTTTTTCATATTATATTAAGCTGATGAAGTTGAATAACATATATATATATATATATATAGTATCACTGGATCCCCTTTTAATCTAGCATCATCCAATTTTTATAATCCACGTAAAATATTTACTCAGATATTTTTTGAATTTTTATAGATTGTAAATTAAATGATCATATTTTAGGTACCTATTTATTAAAAAAAAAAAAAATTAATAACAATTAACACATAAAATATTATACACACTGGTTTGTGCTTGAATCAAACTTAAGTGTAATTGTTTTAAATAAAATGACTTTTTATTATCTGTGGAGTAATAAGGCTTTATAATAATTTAATAATTTTTTTTTTAAACCATACTACTCGTATATACATGCATTAAACAATATAAACAGATGTACATTTATTGTTTGTATGTCATGTGTTATATCTATGTATGTCTAAGACTGTACTTTCTTAACAGTAGGTAATACTATTAATAAATGTCTATATAGTTAGGTAGTTAAAAAAAATGGTTTGATGCTATAATACTATTACATTTAATTTGTATAACATTATGTTTTATGTAGGTATCTATCTTATTTTAAGTATATTTTAATTTATAGAACTACTTGCCCTTATGATTGATTTATTTCAGCATCTAAAGTTAACTATATATTTTTAAAAACATAGATTTGGACTGATATATTTTTGAAATTAAAATGCATGGTATAAAGAGTATTGATGGAAACATTTAAAAATATACTTAGTGACAACTATCAAAAGGATTATTGGATTAAGGACCTTTCAGTCAATTAAAGTACCTAATTTTTTTGCAAATATAATATGTATAAAACGAAATTATGTTTCTAATTAATATCACATTAGAACCATGACATCAAATTAACTAATTTTATTAAAAACCAAAGTACAATAAATTATAATAACCAATAACGTCTAAGAAGATCACAATAATTTTGGGAGTGGAAGATGATTGGGATGCCTCTGCTTATTACGAAACGATGGTAGTTCCAGCGTTCAGCTTATAGGTGGCAGAAAATGATCGTTGTAGATCATTAATCGTCACAGGAATGATTCTGGCCCGGGCAGTTCACCGGGTTTTATGAGGAACGGCTCCAGTTGGGCCATCATCAGGTCACTGGTAGACAATTGCTTGTCATGTAGTTCACTACGGGGCTTGTAAGTCCTAGACCCGGAAGTACTGTCCGACGGGTCGCTGTAGTTGGTAGAGTGATCCAGGGGTTGCATATGGTGCATCTCTGAAAGTAAACCGACAATGACAGTTTCTAATAAGGATCGAATATTCGAAAATAGCTTTCTTTCAGATAAAATCATGCATTAACACAAAATTACCACGATAGTTTAAGGAAGTATTAAATATCTTAGAATAAAAGTCCAGTAATGAAATACATAAATAATTTTATAGGTATAATTTATTATTACAAATACAGGAAATGTTATATTTGTGATCCAATAGTATAACTTCTAATTGGTTTTAAAATTTTAAAAGTATATATAGTCATATAGATAATTAATATTTGATTAAATATAAGGATGAATAACAATATTATATTCTTAACAATTAGGAATCTATAAAATTAATAACAAAATAAAAATTATTTAATATGTTTATTGTTTTTAATAATTGATATTTATTTATTCATTGAAACAAAAATATTATAATAAAATACTTGTTAAATAGTTTTAAAAACGTGTAGCTTTAACAAGCAAACAAACAAAGGTATATAATTTATTAGTAATGAAATACTAAAATATACAATGTTATTTTAACTTTCTAGAATTTAAAAAACTTTTATTGAGAGTATACAAAGTATAATAATATAATTTATTTTATAGTAGTTTGTATAATGGAACTATTATATTTTAATGCGGGAAGATAAAGATTAAAAGTTATAAACAATATTTTGGTTAAATTAATAAATATGAAATGTAGGTATTCGTATAACATATGTATTATATTAGCTTATTATACATAAGTAAATTTCCAATCAATAGTTATAATTAAGTTATTTATCACTAGGTAATTAAATTATTAGTTTGATAATTTTTTTATTTTAAAAAATAATTTATGTTTTTATATAGTTAATAAAGTTAATTAGATCCGGTATCTATATGGCTATATACCAAAAACCACTTTGGTTAAAAATTAACAAAATTCATTTACTAGAGCCAAAATTAAATTTCTTTACCTACATAAATATTAAATACACCTAGTCTTGTCAACGTATTACGTAGATATTATGATATGAATTAAAATAACACTTACGTTATTCCGTCTATATCGTTTTATGCTCAATTCATTGTGTTAATATAGGAAGATAATTATAGGTAAAGTGATAAAAACTTCTACTTATCGTAATTACTCTATTGGAATGTTAAAAATTTGGACGTACAAACAGCTAATATTTCATTAAGTATGTGCATGTGTTTAAATAATTGGTTAAAAAAAATATACAAACTCTATAAGTAAGTACGTATAATTTTAAAACGATAATGATATAAAATGTATATCATGTTGCATTAGTTTATAGGTACGTTAAAAAGCTGTAAGAAGAGGTTAATTTTTTTCTTTTTTTCTAAAAACGAATCGTCAATTTTACCAGTATGGGCCCGAAGCGAAATGAGCTTTTTCAGATCGTGTGCACTGCAAAGCGGCGTGTCTACAACATAAGTATTATTGAATAAACTATAATCCACTTCGTGTTCACCGGTTTCTTTTTTGAATGACACTAGTGTATCAAACCTATGTCCCCAAAGTATTTCATTTGGTAGGTACGATGATCTAGCTTGTGTCGTCATTCCCGTTGATTCGATAACTCCTGTAAAATGAAATAAATGTTTAAAAAAAATATATCATAATCTGTGTACTTTAAAGAAATTATTTATTTATTGTAATTGAAAACACATAAATATAGTATAGTCTTATTATGCAAATTAATTTTTAAAAATATTTAGTCAAACGATAAATATACATTGTAAGCACATAATTATATATACTAAAAGTATCTAAAAGACTAAAACCTACAGTTAAAAGTGTTAACGACCTAAAGCTAAATAAAATTGCTATATTATGCAGTTAAAGAAGTAGGTATTATTATGTAAATATTATTTAATATACATTTTTAAAATTAGTAGATATATTTAATAAAGTTTTATAATTAAATTCTAAACGTGTTTTAGACGTACGGAGTTGAAATATAATTAAAATGTAAGATATTTAGAGAATTTGCTAAAAAATCAATAACTATAAATTAAAAACTAAAGCAAAGTATTTACAATATAAGACTTAATAAATCAAATATTTACTTTAAAATATAGCATAGTGGTTTAAGGTGTAAGATATGTATACATTTTAATAATTTAAACTATTTTAATTTCTTTATAAATAGAAAATTATTTTTTTAAATTTTTTTATTACATAATATTGTCTTTGTACTAATATAATAATACTAGGTAATAAAATTTTGTACCGTAAATTAGAGTAATTACAAGCCGAAAGAATATTCTCGTTTGCTGATTTTATTTGTCTTAAGAATAGTAAAGTTACCTTCTAGGACAACGACAATTTCAAACTTCTCTTGTAAGAAATCGGCAGCCGAAAGCATATACAGCGGTGACTGTGGAGTAATTTTGTGAACAATAGTCGTAGGCCATATGAAGAATATCCTGTCCTCTTCACCATCACCGCCGACTTTAAGTTCTTGTTGGTGAAACGGTAACAGTTCACCTTCTATTGTCATCTAACGCAGTTAAGATTTTTCCCATAAGTAATTTTGAAATTTATTGGTTAATTTTATTATATTTGTTGCAGAATATTTAATATTTTAATTTGATTATTACACCCATATATTTAATTTATATTCGTAAAATTTTCCGTAGACTATTTTAAAGTATAACTATATAGTTTATTTTTATATTATTTAATGATGAAAAATGTGTGCAGTACAGGGTGATTTATTTCAAATATAATCATCTTCTTTTTCTTTTTCAGTAATGTATTTATTCAAAATCCAATTTTTGGAATTTTTAAATGTATTTATAAAGACTATATTCTCAAATTCTTGAAATTTTGTATTACTTAAGGAGTTCTCTTTGGTGACACAAAATTTGGTTTTTTTAACGACAACTTTTCTTTATAGGTACTATAAATTATTTCGCGAATTATTTTTTTGAAAATTTTGACGAATTAAAATAAAAATTTAAATGAGTTATTGAGTTATTGAACTTTTTTTTTCTAATTTTAAAATGTTATTAAATTATATTAATCTATCAATATCTATAAAAAATAATATAAGTAAAATAAACACAACATTTAATATTACATCTATTTTAAAATACAAATATTTTAACAGCTGAAAAACTACTCGATTAAAATTTGAATTAGGTATATCAACGTTTTCTAAAAATGATCCGTTAAATAATTTACAGTAAAAAGAGGGAAGGCGGGAGTTCTCATTTTAATAACAAAAGTTTATACTGCCACAGAACACTCATTAGTTCTTACGTAATACAAAACAATCAGAATTTAAATAAATTCATTATTGAACAAAATTATGGGAGTGACTATGTTTGGTGAATACGGAATCACCTTATATGTACTCACTTTTTTCTTTATTAGCTGCGCCCTAACGTGTGCCTCAATAATATGCGATTTTCTCATGTCACCTACACGGAACATGAGACACAGAATTCCATCCCTTTGGCAGATTACAGCATTTCTGCTGAACAACAATGTCTGTGTTCGTTTTTTCGGCCTGGATAATTTAGCGAACACTACGCCCACCATAAATGCCTGGATCATAACGCCTACTATGCTCTGTAGACACATAATGAATATTGCTTCAGGACATTCTTCGGTTGTGTGTTTGGAACCATAACCTGATATATACAGCGCAAACAAGAAGTAGGTATTATAGGCGAATTATGATATCAAAAAACCATAAAACAATAACGGTTGTGTACGTTGGTCAGCTTTAGTCAAGTATATAATATAAATATATGTAAAAAACGTCGCGTTTTAAGGAAAACGATGAGAAAGATATCATCGTCTATCCGTCTAAATAATACGGTTTAGATTTTTACCTATTGTGTGCTGAGTTTCGACGCTGAACAGAAAGCACGACGTGAAAGAATACATTTCTCGAACACATGGTACCCACGTTGAGTTATTATCCCTAACCGATAATTCCAAATCGCCATGGTTTAGTGCGATCAGCCACCATACAACGGCAAACCCTAACCAGCTGAGCATGAAATTCATTGAAAACACTAACAATGTCCATCGCCATTGAGCATCAACAAGTGTTGTAAATATATCCTAGAACATTAGACAAAATATAAATAGGTATATGAACGCATATCTTTGAAAAATTGCAATGAGAAAATTATAATTGTTATTATTATAAAATGTTGTTAACTAGAATCAAAAGTGATTTATTTTTATTTTTAGAATATAGAAGAAAAAACAATTAAATTTTACAAAAATAGCTGATAGATGTGTCGTATAATATTATCTATTAATCATAATGATAGGTACATAATTATTTTATCAAGCAGCATTTAAAACTATTATAAGCGAATGAAAAACATTTTTTTTTTCTGAGAAATTTGAATAATACGTTAAAAAAAAATTAATAATGATTATCCTATTAATAAATATTTTGAAAATAGTATCATGTAGTTATAGATTATGTAATTTATATTAAGCAAAACTATTTGCGTTCAAGGTGAATCCGTGGGAGCATAGAAAAATGTCGTAGAAATAATTTTTGTTACTATTATAAGTATACAATAAGAACAAACAAATTGTTTTAAAACAATAATGTGCAATGTGCAATGAATACAATTTATATTCATTTAAAATTCAAAAATATAGTATCTATTTATTACGATGTTCATAATTTATTTACCACCGTTTTTTTTTTTTTTATTCTATATATTTCATTTTAAATTAAATTTTAGCCAAGTATTAATATTTTTAAGCTTCTATCATTAAAAAACTTAAAGTTAATTTATAAATGAACCAAAATATTATATTCTACTGAATTTGTGTAATACAAATCAGTCATCAGTATAACATTAGTTTTAAGCATGCCATTTTGGTTTTAATGAACGGTAATTTATTATACGGTACAAAGCTGTGAGTGTCAAGAGAAAGCTACAAATCTAACACAATAATTATGTAGGTAATTTTAATTTTAAAATCTTTAATAGCATCAGACAATTCAGACATTATAGATATATTAACAGTATTTATTTATTACCTTTATGTTTTTTCTATTCCGCTGTACAAATGAAATGTAAGTAGGTACTTCTAAAAGTGTTTATGAATAACGGCAAATTATGGTAATAATTATATGTTAGCGGTATAACTATGTTTAAATATTGGGACATCGCCACTTTATAGTGTTAAGACATTTATTTTCCATCGTGTCAATATAAAAATGATTGTGTTTAACCATATTTAGAAAATATTATTTGCGCTTTTGATGCATTTTCATTTTTGTTTTTCATGGATATACTTGTACACAGTTAGTATTCATTTTGGGGTTTGATGAGATATAATGATTTTTATTACACACGGCCATTGTCACGCTCTAGATTTCAAATACAGCAGTGACAGCAGGCTGGTAAAAAAAAATACATTTAAAATATAGTGTGCTATGTCAACACTAAAAATAGGCTAGTGATTTAGACTCCAAGATGACAAGGAAATTGGTGTGCAGTGCACGGCACGCTGTAGTACTCACTTGGGAGACAACATTTATTTATTAAAATAAAAAAAGTTATGATTCTTAGGGTACTTAAGTTGAGTGTGGTCTATTAGAACATGTTTTTTAAATTTCTGCTAAAATGTTAAATTTTAAAACAATGTTAAAACATCGCATTCCAAAACACTTTGTTCAAAGCTTATATGAAAACGTATATTTTGCCTATACACTTTTTCAACAATTTACTTAAGTTTCGTGTAGTTTGATTTTACACTTATTGTGAACAGATAAACTAAGAACATTTAAAAACTAATTTCTTTTTTAATTGTAAATTAATTATCGAAAGCCACTATCTTAACTTTTTTTTTTTATAAAAATAAATAATACATAATATTAAGTAATATATTATCATAAATTATACCTAATAAAAATTATTATTGATAGTGTATTATTTTCAGAATAGAAAATAAATCAAAGGAATGAAATTTGATAGCCATTTAGATCGATAAATTATTAATGTTAAACAAATCCACATATTTCACACATGATTTGTATAATACGGAATAAGAAGATTGATAAGTTTGATATAATTTTAAAAACAATTAATTTTTCAGTTTATTTGTTAAACATAAAAATATATAATATCATAAAATAGACGAGGTGATTAAAAAATTTTATAATTTTTTTTTTAATAAATAAATACTATAGCACAATTTTACTCGAGGTCATTTTTTCAATACTAGAACTAATTATACAGTAACACATTGTATTAAAGTTATTTTATTTAAAGCTCAAGTATGAGTAAAAAAAATATAACTAAAAAAAATTCTATGTGTATTAATTATTAAGCATGTTAGTATTTTATATAATATACATTCATATAAATTAAATTAATATAAATATTAATATTATTTCATATTAATTATTATATTTATAAAATATATATATAAATAATATATATTATACATATATTCTTTTTAACCAAAATAATAAGCATATTTTGAAATGTTTATTTTACTTTTTTTATTTTAATTTATTTACGTAAATATTTGCTCATTTAACTAATTTGGTTTTAAAGAAAAAGTACATAACTATGTAGTATCTACGGGGCTAATGTGAAAAATTTTATAATAGAATAGACAAATTATATTTAAAATTTCTTATTTAAAAAAACGTATATTTTTAGTAAAACTAATATTTAGATACGATAATTAAATAGCTAACTAAATAAGCAAATACCACCTATAGTCTATAAGTATTAATTTTTGTTTAAAATTTAAATAATAATTACCTGTAAATATTTTCTTCTTCTTTTAGCTACTTTTCCTTGAACAACATTACATTCACCGTGCTTGAATACTACTCTTCTGTACTGTCTCCTAGAGCTGAATCTTGGTTGTCTGTACCTATTAATACCAACAATTAATTTTACTAAAATTACAATTTAATCAAACAAAAAAAAAAAGTTAACAACGTTATTAAAAACTGTATAATATATACACTCATAAGTAATAAGAAGTTTATATTCAATTATTTAGTCAAAAGTTTGTACTACTTTTTTTTATTGAACGAAATGCTAGTGAGCTCATTAATCATTAATAATAATTATTTTTTGATGTAGTGCTCTATTTAAAATAATAGGTAAATTAAATCATAAATATTATAATCGTATTTATATCAAAGTATAACCTATTTTTACTATTTTTATTGAAATTAATATTTATCAATAAAGAACATAGGTAAATCATAGAACTACATTTTATTGGTAACTTACCACGTTATAAACAAAATGTTCCCACATTTTTCAATAGCTTATATACAAACTAATACTCCAGTTACATAAAATATTAATTTTTTCTCCTATACAGGTCATTTTAATGAAATTATGCATTAATCATACATGATATTTTAAAAGGATGTGGACAAAATTGTCATTTTTATCCTAACCGAGTTCTTATTTTTTACATAATGTGAGAGCAAGTATATTTTTAAATATATTTTAAAAGTTTAGTATAATGAAAACATAGAGAATTATTTTACAGTTTTAAATGAATTGAGACAGTTACATTTTATTTATTTGAATAAGACCCAACAAACTCATAAAGAGTAAAAAATAAAAACGTTAAGTTTCTTGTAAAGTTATTAACCTTATTTTAACATATTATGTTAGTACAAATGTTTTAGGTAATGAACAAAAAATACCAAGGTATAAATATAATGTAGTGATATACTCGTATTTTTCACTCTATTATTTAGAATTGGTTAAAATAATATAGGTACTTTTTAAGAAATTAAACATAATAATATTGTCTCTATACATAGTTAAATTTTTATGAAGTTTTTTTGTTAACATGTTATTTAAATGACATTTTAAATTATAAAGAATTCGTTAAAATATTATTTTTTAAACAATCTGTATAACCTGTGTATAAGATAGTCATTATGGTTTGCTTATATTTTTATAAATACGTGGAAAAATATATTAAACGAATGTTTAAATTTATTGTTTATTCATATTTTTAATTATCCTTTATACTCTTATAATGATAATAGAATAAATAAAAATGTTTCATAAATTGGCTAAATTATGTAATATACATAAATTTATTACGAGTAAATAAGGAAACTGTCGATGAATGACACATAAATGGTCGTTGCATAAGTTTTAAATAATTTCCTTTTTTTAAGATATCTCTGTTATTTTTTCTCATGCAAAACGTAATTGCTTTTGTTGGCTTTAAAGACATTTTTAATGATATAAAAGCTTTTAATTGATTACATTAATACAAAAACTAGACTATTTATTTCATTTAATTAATCTTGACGAAAAAAATATAGAAGATATTGTTTATGAATATGAGCATTATCATTTAAAATAAAAGTATGATTTTGCAATATTCTTAAATTTTTATAATATTCTACAGTGAAATCTATACATACCAGTGGTTCTTAAAATTGTATAAAATACAGACTACCGATGGAAAGATTTTTTAAAATCACGGAACCTTTATTAATCATGTGTCAAGACCGGAATCACCAACAGAGCCTTCGCGATCTTCCAGGGGACCATGGATCACAGTTTTTTTTACTAGTATTAAAAACAAGTTGTTTTAGCCACAGATATCTACAACTACGAAAATTTATAATTGTGTATTTTTAACTATTTTAACATGATAATAATAAAAATGAGATGTAGCTATCTATAAGAAAACATTAATGTAAGATACACCTTTTAAAAACCGTTGATTATACTATAAACATAATACCTATATAATATTAATACACGAAATAAGTTAAAAATTATAAATTGGTAAACATTAAATTTATAAATATTCTGTAAATATAAAAAAAAAAAAATGTATTAATATTAAATATAAATATTGCATAAACATAACAATGAGTTGTATTCATGTAAGCATATCTGTAATCTATAGAACTTGAAAATTTGTATATTTTTACCTATTTAAAACAATTAATATTTAATTTATAAATATATTTTTAAATGATAACATACTGTTAAATTAGTAAATATTTAGAATTATGCACATAATTAAGAATATACCATACCAAAAATAGCGGTTCCGGTCTATGGTCATGAAATATAACTAGATAAGTTTTACTAAATCTTTCAAAAATAGTTGAACATTGATTTCATAACTATTAGAAAAGTTAATGAAAAAAAAATAAACAAGGATAACAAATTAATATGTAAATTTCTCTTTTGCTGAGGGTTTTGTCATTGGATAGCTTTCCTCCTTATTCTATATTATCACCTTGTAAATATTTTCCATGTAATATCTTAGTTACTCATTATAAATGTTACAGATTAAAAATTTTTCTATTTTAATAAAAAAAAAAATTTCCTCTTAAGAGTAAATTTTAAGTTTTAATAAAGCATAAATAACTTTTTACTGTGCGAATGTATATTATAGTTAATTTATTAATAAAATATGGTAATTATAATCATTTTACGAATTTATGTTTAAATAAATACATTTATCTTAATAATAAATATAGACTTTATTCTTGAAGACACAATTAATGTAATAATCGTAATGACAAAAGATTTAAAAAATTTACTTAGATATTTTAACATTTTCTACATAATACCTACAGTTTACAAGTTTCTATTTAATATTTATTTAATGTAACATAGATTTATTTTTTATTTAATGAAAATATACTAAGTGTAACATTAATTAAATACTAAATTTAAGTTAAACTGCCCATGACATGTCTGTATTATTCTTCAAATTAAAATAATGATATATCAGTAGACACTAATTTTTAACATTATATTTTATAATAAAAACAAGCTATTTATAAAATAACAAATATACCTACTACGTATATATATATACATATATATTATAATATAATATAATGTATTAGATGTATACTCGTTTGTCACAATGTTGCATCCATCTACAAGTGTAAAGTATTTAATTTTTTAGCAAACATACATTTTTACGTCGTGAAAATTACAATAGAAAATAAAATTAATATGGTTAACTTATTAAAATTTTAATACTATAATATTACATTAAATTCAAAAACTTTTTAAGAAGAATAGAAAATGTTGTTTTTGTGTGGATAAGGCATGGATCCAGAACACATTTATAGGGGGAAAGGAGCATCTTAAATACAATTTCAACCTAAGTCTCATAAAAACAGTGTAAGTACTATGTATACTAATAGGCTAATATTAATATTTAAATTTTAGTTTATCAGTACAATAAAATAAAAGGCAAATCATTTTTAGGTTAAATTAATTTTACATGAAATATAAAACATTACAATAACAAAAAAATTTAAAAAAAATTAGAGTCGACAAGGGAGCATGGCCCCTTGTCCCCTCCCTTGGATCCGCGCCTGGTATGGATGTGATACTGTCTTATCAATATTTGACATTTATACAAATGAAATTTAAATAATCTTTGCCTGGTCTATTAATTTATTACCTAGTATATAAAAATCGTACTTACATTTTAACATAATTGGGCTACAGAAAAATATTGCTTTTTATGCCGTTTTGGTCAAAAATATTAAAACAAAATATAAAGTACAATAGGTATGACAATTATTTAATAAAATAATACAAGATATCTTTAGGATCTTAGGTCGGAAATTTAAAAAAAATCATTTTTTTTTTTTTAATTAATATAAACTTTAAAGTATAATAATTAATACTATAAAATATACATGTATGATGTATCGATTAATATTTAGGATAAAATGTATACAAAAATATAATATTTCATACCATTTAAAAAATTTAAATAATTTGTGCACACACATTTATTAATTATGAGAATTAAAAGTAATTATAACCCTTCATGCATGTATACTACAGTAATAACTATTAAGTGTATTACAAATAAAGATCTAATTGACGTTATATAAAGTTATTATTATATATTTTATTACAATGATAACTTCTTAAATTTTAATATATTATCTATTCATGTTAAATACTTAAATGAATTATATCGTAATGTTTAAATGGGAAAATGTTTTATTACTCAGTATTTCGTTAAAATGTATTAACTATTCAATGTATCACTCGTTACTCATCCGGTATTCCCAGTAAATCATAAGAGAATTCTTTGAACTAAATAATTATACTCGAGTTGATGAGATTTAAAATTTTTGAAATTAGATACAATATAATAATATTGTAGTGTTATTTTATAATTAACGTTATAGTTACAACTTGTAGGTTATAAATAATAAATTATAACAGCAAGAAAAAATTATTTTTGAAAAAAAAATAAATGAAGTGAAAGGACAAACTTAATTTAATTATGATGTCGAAGGTATTTCTTACGACGTCGAAGATATGTTAAACTTTAGTAAGATCGCCTATTACAAACTGTATAATGGAGTAATTGAACGGAAATTTAAAAAAAAAAATAATAAACTTTTAACAAAAATAATTTTACAAGCAATTTTATTATATATCATACATTTTTATTGAAAAAATTAAATGTTGAAAATATTTAAAATATTAAAATACAGTACCTACATAAATTTGAATTTCATGAATTCAAAATTTTTCGTAGTCACATTTTCTGTAAAATATCATGTACATTTTTTACATTATATTATTGTATATGTGATTTTACTTAACCAGTTAATTTATTAAAATGTTATATCATGTGTAGGTAATTCAAAAGTTTTTTCTGTAGTTAATCAGACGTAATTGTCGTGTTCTTTTAATATGTTAATGAGTAGAGAATAATAAAAAATATAACATATTTTTAACCTGTAGTCAAATATTTATTATTACAATGTAAAAAATATTGTAACATATTTTTATATTCTTTGGCTCATTTATGACATTAGGGTTAAACTTATATTTGATAGAAGGTAAACATCGAAAATTTGAAAATTATTGTATATTTAT